TGCTACTCGACCATTCATGTTTCTCTGCATCCATCAAAATCCACAGTATAGTGACATCATGTGCAGCGTTACCTGTAACACAAGCTAACCTTCCCTCATATGATGCGAGTATACCACTACCACTCCATGGTAGTTTTATCATATGGAACTCTTCAGATGTGACATCAAAACTCATTATAACGCAAACTGTCTGATCAGTATATGTATATGCTTTATAATACACAACCCCGTTAATGCATATATACACACAGGATTGGCCCATCCCAGTAGGGGGACTTATTCCAATTTGGAAAATTGGCTATTTTTCCTTTATAAAAAAATATTATTTTTTTTATCTAAGCCTAAAAAAGCCACAAAATTTTTTGGGCCCTATGCAATGGCTTATTTGGCATGTGCCCTGGGTCGGGCATGCATACACAGTTCTGAAGGTAAGACTATGCTCATGGTTGGTTTTGATCCTTCTCCATGATTCTTGAGTTGATCCCAATGTTAAAACCTGACACTCGTCTATGTAATTTTCATCAATAGGCATGCCCAAAACTTTATGTTTAGCATTGACTGGATCGTATCCTAAAAAGAATGTTGCATACTTCCAGCTTTTTTTTTTGGTTTGGTTAGGGTTAACAACTTTCTCGTTTGTAGGGTTCCAGATTATGGGTTTTGCTGCTTCTGGAAAGTAGCAGATCAAGCCGTGGACAAATACCTCAGGGAAGAAACGACATGATTAAGGGCATGCCATATGATAACCATCAACATGCTGAGTCTTTTAAATTTGGATGATCTTGAGGAATCAAGAACATAAACAACTTGTCATCTCTTTTGAAGGAGAGTGCAATACTCGGCTCGTTTGTGGACCGAGTTTCGAAACTGTTGATGAAGTATGGATCGGTGGTGACAGATGACCAAAGCTTCGAAACAGAACGAAATCTCACAATAGATTTGAAAGGCAGCTTTGAGAGTATCTCCGAGAATAAATCAAGAGGAAAAGAAGATGTTGAGTCTTGCACTACAAGAAAACGCTTGATTACCGACCAACAGTTACGACCACGAAATTGTGGTCGTAATTTTACGTCTGTGTTACGACCAGTCAACAACAAAAAATATATTGGTCGTAAAACCGAAGTAAAATTGGGACCACAAATATTGGTCGTAAAGCAGAAGTGACTTAACCTCCAATTTACGACCAAAAGAAAAAGTGGTCGTAAAGTAGAAGTTAGTTGACTACGGAATTACGACCAAATAATTAGCTTCGCATTAACTACCAAATTACATGCACGTGGTAGTTTATTCGAAGTAACATAATTTTGGTCGTAAATAGGGGGTAATATTCCCCACCTACCATTTCGAAATTTGCCTATAAATACAATCTCATATTCCATTTTTTAGATACACCAAAANGTCGTAAAGTAGAAGTTAGTTGACTACGGAATTACGACCAAATAATTAGCTTCGCATTAACTACCAAATTACATGCACGTGGTAGTTTATTCGAAGTAACATAATTTTGGTCGTAAATAGGGGGTAATATTCCCCACCTACCATTTCGAAATTTGCCTATAAATACAATCTCATATTCCATTTTTTAGATACACCAAAAAAAAAATAAACAAGATTGTCCAAAAAAAATGAAACAAGATAGAGTAAAAAATGTCTCGAGATATTTATGAGCTTTGAAGTTGGATGTATACACATAAAGATTCTGAGGGGAGAGTGACATCGGAGTTCCTCAACAGGGCAGAAATATTCATGTACCAGGTCGAAAACACGTCTCTCACGAAGGAAACGGGTAAAATGTTCTGTCCATGTGTTAAGTGCAAGAATACAAAATTCGCTCGTACTGAAACGGTTTGGAATCATATAGTTAATAGTGGATTTACTCCACATTTTTTTCGGTTTTAGTTTTAGTTTAGGTGGTTAGTTTAGGTGGTAATTAGATTACTTTGGAATTGATTTAGCACGGGATTAGATTATTTATATTAAATAATTAGTATTTAATTACTTTTAAAATTATTTTGGAATTAATTGTTTCTAATCATAACTTTTATTTGAATATGTAAATATGACCTGGAGAAAGAGATTAAGAAACCACGCAGCGAGAAGCCAAACTGCTTCTTACGGCGAAACATTTTCGGTTCGTCGTCGTCGGATCCATCAGCTAGCAGCTCTGGCACAGCCCGGGAGTTTGTCGTCCCTGAGACCGCGGCCCAAGGCATTCAACCATCATATGTGCCTCCTCCTCCGTTTGTGCCACCGCAGCAGCAGCCTCTTCAGTTTGACGTGCCTCCATACTATCCGCAGCAGGATCATGATCATCAGCAGTATCATGATCATCATCTGCAGCAGCATCATGATCATCAGCAGCAGCAACATCATGATCATCATCAGCAGCCGCAGCATCATGATCATCATCATCAGCAGCAGCAGCATCAGCAGCAGCAGCAGCATCATGTCCCTCCTCCAGTCCATGAAGCTGCTCCGCCTCCTCCTCCGGGTGTCCATCCGGATTTGCTTGTGCCACCGGATGCTCCCTACGCTAGATACACGGTGGAAGATCTTCTCCAAATACCGGGACGAGAAAGTTTACCCATCATCGATCCAGATAGACCACCAAACACTCTCTGGTAATTTTAATTATAATTTTTTCCATATATATGAAATTTTAATTATATATATTTTCATCTAACATTCATGAATTTTCATTTTTTTGTAGGTTTCCAACAGATAATCGCTTGGGACGGAGCGTCGCAAACATCATATGGTCGAACTTCCGGGAGCCTCATCCGAACTGGTCCCTTACACCGGACCACGTTTGGAGGACTTGGTTCAAATGTTTTTCGGTAAGTTATTTTCTTTCGTAATTAAATAAATTTATTTCACTTTTTAATTTCATTTAATTATTTAATTATTTCTCATTTTAATTATTTTTCGCAGCAAAAATGGAACTGGTCTATTGCGGCCAACGAGACAGTGAAGGAAGGGTTTTACGAGAAGGCGCAAGAACGCCTTAAGAATATTGTGGGCGATTGGCAGGATAAGTGGAGGTTTGATCCCGATGTCAGAAAATGTAAACCGACCTACATCAGCGATCACATTTGGAATGGCTTGACGGCTTATTGGAGTCTGCCGAAGTCAGTTAAGGATTTGACCCGTTGCTCCAACAACCGAATGGCGCATGATGCTGAGGGTAATTTGGTTGTTGTGCCCCACACTTCTGGACAGACTTCTCACGCAGGGAAAACTCTACAAATTGTAAGTACAAGCTTTTGTAAATGTTTTTTTTTAATTTTTAATTTGTTTTTACCTTTTTAATAATTAAATTGTTTTATTGGTATATTAATATATTAGTTTAATATATTTAATTATGTTGTTCTGTAGGCTGCGGTGGAAGGAGCACCACCGTCTCTTGCCCGACTTTACAAGTTGACCCATCAGCGTTCTGACGGGACGTTTGTAGATCCTCGAGCAGAAAAGATCTACAACGATGTTGAGGAGCAGATTCAGGAGGTCCAGACCCGGTTGACGGTGGAACAAGGGGAACCCGTTCAGTTATCCATCGTTGAACAAGACAAAATTTTTGAGAAGGTAATTAATTATTATTCGATTTTATAATTAATTATGTATATACTAATTAATTTAATCAATTTAAATTATTTTAAATGAAGATTATCCCGAAGAAGAGGGGACAGATGATCGGGATCGGTACGGTGAACGATGTCCCGAGGGCTAGAGCTGAATACGCTACAAGACAACAAGAAGAATCTCAGCAGCTCCGAACCGATTTGACAACCGCCAACCAAGTCATTTCGACCCTCCGGACGGACAACGAGGCCAACATGAACCACATTAGGGCCATGGCGGAGATATTTGATGTAATGGCGGAAACAAACCCAGCCCTTGTGGAATTGTGGAGACCTCGACGTTCAACGATCTATCCCAACCTAACTCCAGAAGAACGAGCAAATGCAGAGCGAGGAGTCGATGAACATAGCACCCAGTTTTTCGCAGACATTAATCTTAATAATTAATTAGTTTTCTTATGTAATTTGAATATATATTTTTATTATGTTTTGGATATATTAAGTTAAATTTCTTTTCGAAATGAAGGATTTTTAATTAAATATTAAATTTCCTAAATTAAAAATTTTAAATTTGTGAATTTTAAAAGTGAAATTTTATTATATTTCTAGAGGTTATTTGGTCGTATTAAATAAATCAAACTGAAGTTATCTGGTCGTACCTTTTACGACCAAGTTGTGTCTATTTTTCAAGAGTCGAGGTTATGTGATCGTACACGTTACCTCGATTTAAATACTATTTTACGTCGAGATTGAATTCTACTTTACGACCAACTTTTACGACCAATTAACGTCTAACTGATTGGACGTAACTTTACGTCAAATCCACATCTAGAGTACGACTACTTTATTTACGTTTGTGTTACGACCAACTTCTTTAGTCGTAATATTTAAGTCCACATAACGACCAAAAGTTAATTACGACGGGCTAGTCACGACTAAATGCGTTTCGTTGTTATGTGGTCGTAAAAGTCTATTTACGACCAAATTACCTCTATATACGTGGTCGTTATGCCCGAGTTTTCTTGTAGTGTTGAGACTTTATTCTTGATGTCTTGTGGATTTGTTCGGTTGTTTCCTGTTGATGATCAATTGTAGGTCAGCCCTAAAGTATTCACTCTATAAACTCTCTGTTTTTTTTGTCTGTTATACACTTTTATAAGTAAAAGACAAAGTATATAATTTCCTTCTTTTAACATAAGAGATAGTTTCCCTTTTCCTTTATGTAAACGAGAAAAAAAAACGGATAATTATTTATTTTTTGGTAGATTTACTTTAGTTTTTTTTTGTTACATTTTTTTTTTAATTTTGGCACTATGAAGAAAAATAAACAATCCAGATTACAATTAAAATGTGAAGGTATAATAAGATAAAAAAACTGCATTACACTAAGCAACATTCTATCGAAAGAAAAAAAAGGAAGTGTTAAAAAAACACGAGACTCTCCATGTGATTCGAGACAATAGGGATATTAAACAGACGACTTCTTACAAGTCCATTCTTAAGCCTTGATTCATCGTCTGAGATTCCTTTATACTCAACTCTGTGGAACCTGTTTCTCTTCGGATCATAATATATAACATAAAACGATTTATAAAACCTTACTGGTACATAAACAATCTCGCCTGAATCCGTGATACCAATTAAGTTGCAAGCTATTTTCAAACTCCGGTCGTAGTAATAAAAAGGCACAAGAAAATTTTTAGGAGACCAAACATGTTTCTCTGCATCCTGTAAAATCCACAATGTAATGCCATCACCTGGATAGTTACTTCTAAAACAAGCTAACATTCCCTCATATAGTCTGAGTACACCACCACCAATATTATTCCACGGAAATTTTATCATATGGAACTTTTCAGATCTGACATCAAAACTCATTAGTATAGTGCCAGCATTCTCGTTTTGATCAGCATATGCTATATAATACAAGACCCCGTTGATGCAGTTATAACTGGTATAGTAACTCCTAAAAAGATACTTATGGTTGGTCTTTATCTTTCTCCATGATCCTGGAGCTGATCCTAGTGTCAAAACCCTACACTCGTCTACGGTTTCATTAAAAGGCATGCACAAAACTTTGTGTTTGTTATTGATTGGATCGTATCCTAAGAAGGCCACTGTATGCTCCCAATTCTTTTCGGGTTTGGTTAGGGTTAAGAACTTTCGGATTGTAGGGTTCCAAATCATGGGTTTTGATGGGTTTGCAAAGCAAATCAAGCCTTGGACAGATACCTTGGGTAAGAAAGAACAGTGTTTGGGGTATCTCATATGATAGCTATGAACAGGCTGAGAAGAAATCGAATGTGGCTGGTTTGGAGTCTGACGGTCTTGAGGAATCGAGAAAACAAACAACCTGTCACCTCTTTTGAATGTGACTAGAAGACATGGCTTCTCTTTTGTGGACCGAGTTTCAAATTTGTTGATGAAGTATGGATCGGTGGTGATTGATGACCATAGCTTTGAAACACAACGAAACCTGCCAACAGATTTAGCAGGCAGCTTTAAGAGTAACTCCGAGATAAGATCGAGAGGAAAAGAGGATATTGACGGAGATTGTATTCTTCTTCTTTTGTTTATTAGTTCGGTTGTTTCTTCTTGCTGTTTCATTGTTTCTCAAACCCTAATCTCTTCCCTCTCTACGTTTTCTGTTTTTATCCGAGTAAATAATCTCTATTATGAAGTTTTTAAAGTAAACAAAAAACTATAGCAAAGCAAATAAAAGTACTATCCAAGATATACTTTTCTATTTATCTCCAAGAGAATATTTCGCTTTTCGTTCGATTGTTTTTGTTTTCAAGATTTTTGGGTATGTCTATGGTTGAATTTGCATCATTTCTACAACTTTGGACATTGTGGCCTGCTACCAAAAAAAGAAGAAATTTAAGTACATATCGTTCAAATAATCAATGAAGATAACAATTTGAACACCTACATATTCGATCATACAATGATTTTTTTTTAGTAGCTCATAACGATGGGCCTGCAAAACAAGTGAAGAGTCGTAGAAAAAAAGCTTTTCAAGTTAAAGAAGTTTCTTTTTTTTTTAAGAAAATGAAAACTAGAAAACAGCCATTAGAATCTCGAACTTTCAAATTAAAGTTAAAAAAAACCTCTAACTCTAGTTTGAACCCAAAAAACTTTCAACTTCCAAATATTAGTCGTTTTAACTTTAATATTTTGTTGATTCGGTCATTTAAGAAATCTGAATAGTTAACTCTTAAACGCGATTATAAAAATAGATGTATGTTAACTATGTAAATGATGTAATTTTAAAAAATCAATCAAATGATGTTGTTTTGCTTTTTAAATACTTTAAGCACCTCTTTCGCGAAACTAGAGTCATAAATTGACTTCATCTTCCTAACTCGAAAATAAAAAAAAAGATGAAATCGATTTGGGTTTTGGTTTCACGAATAAGATGTTTTAAGTATTTACAAAAGCAAAACGACTTATTTTAAATAGTTTTTAAAATAACATCGTTTAAAGAATTAACAGACAGATTATTTTTGTAATTAAGTTTAACATTTGACTATTTAAATTTTTTAAATAGCCGAATCAACAAAATATAAGAGTTAAAACGATCAATTTTTAAATCCCTGGTAATCATGAATATATATATAAAACAATTAAAAAATCTGAGTATTATGGAAACCGTGGCAAGGCGAAAATGCATTTCATGGTCGAAATAATGATTATGACAGTGGAAAAATGTTATTTCAGTGATCAAAGTCAATATATAGGTCGGAGATCAAAGTCAACGTAACAGTAACAGTAAAGTGTATACAAAGATAGAGTCTGTTCAAAAGCAATTTGTTTGGTTATTATTTCAGTGTGTTGTTTGTTATACAGATTTTGAAAAATTATAACGATTTTGTTAAATAATAAGAAACTGATTTTTCCTTCTTACCAAAAAAAAAAGAAACTGATTTTTCCTTAAATATACAATAGATTTTGAACATAATCATGTATAGAGATGGTACAGTAGAACCGATAAATCAATATTCAAATAAAATAATATTTGTTAAAGTAAGTATGATATACATTAATAAATTTAATAAGTTTTGAATTTGGTATTTTGACACAAATTGTTTAAAATCCGTAAGACTTTATAAAATTGACTGAATGGCACAGTGCACGTTGTGACCGCATGCTGAGGACGATCTGACCAAGTAGGTCGAGTTGAAATTTTACAACAATTTGACAAATAAGTGCAGGCGATTTAGAGCGATAATGAGGCTGAGTTCATCATAAAGTATAAATTAGTCTAGCTTTCCGGTTTCAAACCAATATCCCAATTCATTTTTGGAGTAAGTATTTTTTGTTGCTGGATAGTTAATTAATCAAAAGCCATGTGAAATTTTGAAAGAGAAAACAAATGGATCAAAAAGACCAAAATTCAACGTAACAGATCCATGATCTGCTCGTATAAAATGCTCAATGCCAATGTAACCAATTCTGGAGATTACCAAGACAAATATGGGCTCGTCAAATTGTCTTTGTAGAGAAGAAGTTTCAAATCAGCGAAATGGTAATATAATACAACAGAGTCTAAAAGAGAGTAGCCATTTAGAATGTATGTAGAGAGATGATAGTAGGTTCGCTACAGGTAGCATTGCTTACGTGAAGACAAGCAGACAATTTAGAGATAGTAAATAAAAACATAACCAAGAGTCGATGTTATGAATGGGTATCCTACTCCAGTCTGCCAAAAAAAAAAAAAAAAATCAAAGGAACATCTA